TCTTACGCCTAGGTTACTATACCATAAAATACACTACAAATTCCACAAGTTATTCCCAAGCTTTAACTCTCATCTCTTTTCATTATGACCAAAAAATTTTGTCTTTTGACTTTTCAAAGCCACGAAGATAGCAGAAATTTTTTCACCCTGCTTAATCATGATTTTTTTCTAGCAAAAAAAAAACAATCGAGTGAAGAGTTAAATTGATGCAGGGCTCGTAATAAAAAGAGAATCGAAAAACCAACTCTAAGCTGCAATTTTATTTTCAAAAACGCTCAAAGAAAAGCAGCACAATAAATCTAAGTGTTGCAAAATACAAAACTGCATCTTGCAAAACCGAACAAAAAAGCAGAAGGAAGCTTTGAAGAAGCAGAAGTTTTTTCAAATGTGCTTAAATAATATTGGTCTACCTTTGAAGTTTGAACTTCCGACCTCTGGATTATGAGCCATTTTTCCTGAGCCTTTTCTTCCATTAATTTTTGGAATGATTTTCTCGACTTTTTGGTGTTGGTAATACGTTTGTTTGCCTCATTTCTGTGTTTTAAAGTCAAACACTTGTGTTTAGAACGAGTTCAATATTAATCCTGAATTGCACTAATTAAAATTCTCAGTTTTTATGTTCAATTGAATCAGCGAGCAATTTATATTCGTTTCATCCTTTTTATCAGAACGCCCTGTAATCACTCATAGACCAGGTGCAACTCTCAGAATAGCAGTAGTATCAAAAACTCTCAAAACGCCTATTTCTTTTGTATGGCGTCTTTGTATATTCTTTGATCAATGCCTGACAGAATAAAAAAAAATCAAATACAAAAATTTAGCAACATTAAAATTGAACGTTGAAAGTTTTTTTGCCAAAAGTTTGCTTCTTTCATTAAATTGTTCGCATAAGAAGACAGCATTTTTCAGGCCGCTCCATTGTACTTGCTACATGCTAGACCATTAATCTTTTGATGACTCTAGCTTTGATTGACCAGAGTCTGTCACACAAAAATTTTGAGAAGAATTTGGATTTAAAAATCAATTTTTGGTTTATGGAAAAACTTTAATCTTCCATTTTCTTTTATGAAAAACTACGGTTCATGTATCTTTCCTGCACTTTTTGTACTTATGAACTTACAAGAAAAATATATGACCAACAGTTTCTCCATAGATGAAAATTGTATGATGTTTTTTTGGTCAATTCGGGGATGGGTTTTCAGTTTGTTCCTTACCTTTGCGTTCTTTTACTTGGCATCTACTTGGCAGCTATGATAATAATGAAGAAGACCGCTTGCACCAGGGCAAATCCTTGAACATTCCAATTGCTCATTATTTGGTCTTGAATACTCTTTGGTTAATAAAATGTGACAAACTATCGTTTTTAGGCTGACAATATCAAAATTTAAGTGTTGAAATTGAATCGTGTATACAATAAATATCACTAATTAGCTTGCCTCAAAATCAATTTGGAAGGAATTTCTGCGGAACGACAATTCGCCACGCATAAATAATGCGCTTTATATTTTGATTTAAAAAAAGAAAACGAGCCCAATTTAGTTAAACTCAACTCATAGATGCCGTATATCAGATTAGACTGACTTCCTTTTGGTCGTTAACCTCTGATAGAGAGAGTACAAAGCTGATTCAAATTGACCGGACAAAACGCGCTAAATTTTAAATCTAAAACGCGTTTTTCTCAAATTCAGTTGAGGTTAGGTGAAAACTCATGAAAACAAAACTTAGTTCAAATTTTAGCAGAATTAATATTGTGTAATTTGTTTTGCGAAATTCGGGCCCAAAGTTTTACCCCAAAAATGGGTCATTTTGGTTTTTTTAGTTAATAGAAAATGGCGCCAAAAAAAACCAGTCGGTCACAAACATAATTATATCAAAGTGAGCCCCTCACGTAGCCCAACAAACTTTAACAGGGGTATATTCTCCAAAACATTGTTAAGGTTAATCAATTTTTGTTTTATAGACAAAAAAGGTCATTTTTACTTTATAAAACACCAACTTTTTATTTAAAAACACCTTTTAAACCGTTTTCAATTTTTTTTTGAAGAATTTACCTTTCTTAAAGCTTAATGGGCTATGAGAGGGACTCACTTTGATATAATTATTTTTGTGATCGATTGGGTAATTTTGGCGTCATTTTTGATAAACTAAAAAAAGCCAAAATGACCAATATTTGGGGTAAAACTTTGGGCCCGAATTTCGCAAAACAAATTACACAATATTAATTGTGCTAAAATTTTAAGCAAGTTTTGTCTTCATGAGTTTTCACCTAAACTCAACCCAATTTCAGAAAAACGCGTTTGAGATTTCAAGTTTAGCCTGTTTTGTCCGGTTAAGTTAAATCAGCATTGTATAATAATAGCTACAAAAATTAAATGAAATAGCTACGTCAAAGGATGTGAGAACTTTTTTGGAAGAAAAATCTTTGATGATTTAATGAATGATTGGTTCTCTTAAAAGAAACCAATCGAAGTAAAAAAAAAACGGCCGCAAGATCTTAACTAACTATTTCACTGCTTAAAAACAGACCCTAACATGCTGAATTTTTTTTGAGGTTTTGCCCTAATGTATCATATAGTACCATATCATTTCTGTAAGACTACTCTAAGACAATTCAGGTCGTTTTCTATGCATTGTAATTGGACAATTGTCCAATCTTTCGTTTATAGTTTTGAATAAGCCGAGGTCTTTGTCACTCGCGTTCGATAACGAACACAACCCATAAATGAAAAACAAACATACCCATTTTCCTTATATGAAAAATCACTAATCATAAACCTTTCATGCAGTTTTTTGTACTTTCGGAATTGCATGAAAAATGTGTGAGTAGCATTTTTCCATAAATGAAAATTGTTTGACTAGCATTTTTGAACAACCCGGGTTGATGGTTGTTAAAACTCTACAAAAGACATTATCAAGCTAAAAAAAAATTTTTGTGTTCATTGTACGCAACCAATTGACCCAATGAAATTATTTTGTATGAATGTTGAGAAGGAGTCTTGGAAAACGTAAACATTAGAAGTTTAAAAAAACGTTTGGCGAATTTTTGTTTCGGTAATCATTGCCTCAAGAAAAATTATTTATCAGGGTTGGTGCTCAATTTTTGTATCTGAAATCCAAAATATCCTATCCGCCGAAAAATTGGCTTTATGTGCATCAGTTTTAGGAATTTTCTCGGTCTGAAAGTATTTTTTTGAACTTTTGTGTTCCACATTCCAGGGTGAACCTCGCTCATAACTTTAAATCATTCAAATAATTTTCAAGTGCCAATAAACGTGCCTTAAGCACGTTTACTGCCACTTGCTTAAGCCACGTTTATTGAATTGTGTTTTCTGGTGAAGCTACAAAAAGAATTGAAAAGAAAACTCGCAATTCCTTTTAACCTGTTTGACGAAACTGGTCCAAAAAAGTCCTAAAAACCTGCAAGCAAACTAGTTAAGAACGTAAAGGTCTTTTTCGGCCCTCCAATTTTTGTGCATCAGCTGAGCTGTTGAAAAACGTTATTAAAATAAACCAGTATACCAGATCACTAGTATCAAGTACACTATGTGGAAATTTGGTTTGATTTTTCCCAAAAGTTTAGAAAAGGCGAAAAAATGCGTATTACCACAACCAAATAGTTTTGGACAAATGTTCACGTTATAAAGTGAATACTCAATTGTACCTCCGTGGTTTCATATTTTGAAAAACATCCAATAAAATGTAATCTCATTGCAATACCAGATGACTTTGATTTGCGTCTATTGTTTCCATGAAGCTGAGTTGACTAGAATCAGTCGCAAATTTACATATCTATATAGAAGCGGACTTAGAATGGACACCTTTCTTCCGTCAAAAACTGACCCTCTCACCGCCCACAGAGTCGCAAGTTAGGCAATTTTTTCCCCCTCTTTTTTGGTTTTTCGGGACAATTCATTTAGTTTTTTGGGACTGCGTAAATTCAAAAATGCCAAAAAATTGTCAACATTTTTGAAACATAGTTTGACTGCTGAGAAATGACAGTCGGGAGACAACAAGTTGCAATTGTCAGTTTTCAACCGATGGACAAATATTTGAGTATTTCTACACATTTTTGTGTAAAAAGGCTAAACACGTGAATTATGATTGATGAAACCAATTAAAATTATCTAGACGGATTAGCAAAACTTTTTCGAGGCTTTTTGTTCGTTTAATCGAAGCTCTGTCTGCTGGTTGCCGAATTTTTTTCTAAATTGCTGGAAATATTCTTTTCTAACCTGGCTACCGTAAGTTCTTTTCAAAATTGTTGGAAAATTCTTTTCTAAATTGGGTGCCGGAAATTCTTTTCAAATTGTTGGAAAATTCTTTTCTAAATTGGGTGCCGGAAACGCTTTTCTAAATTGCCGGATAAATTGCTAAAAAAGGTGGAGTGCGGGTGGAAATTTTTTCTAAATTTCTCTATAAGCTTCTTTAATGTGTTTTGAGGCCTATGTGACCCTATTTTGGCCCCACATGAAAGAAGCTTAGAGTAGATAAATTCAGAAAAAAATTTCCAGCTGTGCACCACCTTTTTTAGCAACTTATCCGGCAATTTAGAAAAGCGTTTCCGGCAATTAATTTAGAAAAAAAATTCCGGCAACAAGTTTTTAAAAGTTTCCAGCAGTTTAGAGAAAAAATTCGGCAACCATAAAAATTCTAATTTTTTTTGAGAATGTCTTACTACAGACTGAGTTGTAGGCATTTTTGCATGTTGTAGTCTAAAGCCTTGCACGTGAATCAGACTAAATAAAAAGTATGATTTCTTTGCTCAAAAGAGACTTGACTCGATCGACTGATAAGCTTTTTTTTATGATCTTCCAATTAGACACTACTTTTGTGAATTGTTTGTGGTCATAACATTTGTCTGTTTAAACTTTTTTCTTTTTTTGTAGTGGTAAAAGTTTTTATTGAATCCTTACAAAGTTTGCTAGCGTTAAATCAAATTTGAAATCCTGCTTCTCTAAATCTCTCTTTTTTTCTCAGGATTGATTAACCTGAGCTGCAAATCAGTCGAACAATTAATTCAGAAAATAATTCTAAATAATCAAAGAGAGATACTTTATTTACATACTCAGTGCACCATTGTTAAATGCTCCAAACCATGTTTTCTATACTTAACTGGGTTAAATTTGCTCAAAATTAGTAGTTCTATAGGATCAGTCGGGATCCAGGCACGTAATAGGACTCCTTCCAGAGGTTAGTTTTCCCTTTGTTCATCATCTTCCTTTGACACTGGGCGCACCGTGAAACGTGTGCTTGGTCTAGCAGCAGTGCGCCACCGTGCAATCGGTGCAAGTTTTCCTCTTCGTCCCGTTGTTGTTTCACCTGCATAGATTTCAGCCAATCAGCTTCGAGCTGTCTCCTCTGGTTGAACAGTCGGTTATGTTTGTTGACATTATCCTCGACGAATTCTCGTTTGACGTCTTTCAGCATTTCTTCCTCTTCTTTTTGATTCAGTAGCTCAGTCAAAATTTTCTCCTTTTTCTTTTCACGTGCGATTTCGAGCAGTTCTTTTTTGATTTCCTCCTCGCGCTCAGCTTTTTCACGGATCTTGTCGTTTGAAGAAGCGTCGTGAAGGCCGAAGATTGGCTCGTCTGAGTCGGGAACTGCCTTCGGCAACTGTTCCGGCAAGTATTTCAGCTGAGTGTCGAGTGCTCTTTTGAGCGCCTCTTTTTGATTGTGCTTCTCTTTCAAATACGCCTCTCTTTGAGCAGCTAAATCCTCGGCTATTTGAATTTGCTCCAGCTTCTCCAAGAAAACTTTGTCTTCATGAAGTCGTTTTTCCTTGTCAGTTCTAGACTCTACTTGATTGTTTAAGTCTTCGTAGTAAGTTGCCTGGCCGAAGAACTTATGAGGTGTATGGGGTCTCTTTTGAAACAGGAATGAATTGTAGTACCCTGGTTTCCGGCTTTTCTCGTCTTTTACCGCGTCTGCAACTCCCAGATTGAAGGCCGAGATGGATTTTTGCATGTTTCTCGCATCATACAGCTTCTCTTGTTCCTTGAGAATAGCTTCAGTGTCTCGTAAGTTCTGATACTGCGCCAGTAGCTTGTCTTCTTCTTCGATTCGTTTTTGCCTCTCGGCCAAAAAATCCACAGGAATATTTCGGACGTCTCTTTGGTGACACAAATAACACAATTCTTGACCTGCTGAAGCCTTGTGACAGCATTCCGAATGATTGGATGCCGCGGACTCTGCCCGGCTGGATCCTGGAGGTCGATTGGACACTAAGTTGGGCGAAGTGTTTGACCTTTTCAAGGTCGGTGTTGTCATGTTGCGGTGCGATGCCGCACCTGTTGACGGTTTCCTTACCGTTGGAAGATCCGCTTTCAGCTGACTTGATGTGGAAAACTCTCGTTCTCGAACTGTATTCAAACCAGCCGCGGCGCTACCTCCCAACTGGTTCTCGTGATTCTCGTCAAAGCGTCCTGGATCCGAAGTCACCTCAGGATTGTGCTCGTCTTCGTTTTCCGTTTCAGCAATGGCAGGCAAGGGTTTGGGTGGTTTGTTCACAGCTACGCTCGGTAAAATGAGAGTCGTGGTTCCTGGTCGCGATGTGATTGGTCGATCCGACATTACCGAATCAGGAGTGAACGGACGGTTTACCATCGATTTCATGACGTCTTTACCGTCGTCCAAGGAGTTTATGAACTCTTTGAAGAATCGCATTTTTACTTTCTTCTCCTTAATTGTCAGGCGACCCAAATCTGGGAAAACGAACTCAACGCTACTGTTGCTCTGGACACTTCGGCCGAGCCAAGTAAGAACTTCTTTCGCGCATGCCTCGACAACATCTCGATGATAGGGACTCTCGAACGCGACGGCCGCAAAGTTCAGCGGGACAACTGGGATCTCTCCTGTCTGGTAAATTTTTTGGTTCGGCAAACAATGTTGTAGCACGAATTTCTCGGAAATGACAAATACAGGACGATTTATTTCCTTCGCTTTCTTGCCGCTTGATTTTCCGGTGACTTTTTTGGTGTACGTGAACGTTCCCAACCCATGAATATGAACTCCTTTGTTTTGTTGTAACTGTTTGATAATAAACTCGGAAATGTAACCCCAAATACTGGCAATATCGTCATCGGATAGACCCGAAATTGTACTTTGTTTCGGCTTTGTGTAATCTTTCAGAACATCTACACTTCTATTTGTATCAAAACCACTCAACGGTTTTAACTCCTCCATTGAAACTGGAAACAGTTAAGTTCCGATCATAAAATAGGATTTTGATCAAAGAAGTGAAGTTTTTATGTTAAATTTTGATCTTTTTAAAACGATGGTTCTATAAAATAAAAACACGTTGTAGTACTTTTAATGCTTTATTTTTGACGAAAAAGCACACGATTTAGCTTAGCAACAAAACGTAGTTCAATTTGAAAGCAATCAGCGATGTTTGACTACAGTAAAAGCTGCAGACCGCAGAATGAAAAAGTAACAAAGAGACAAATCGACAGTGAAACGCTCCGGCTATTTTTCGTTCTCATCTTGTTCAAAAGGCATGAAGCACGCTTTGTAAGAAATCACACCGGCGTTGATAAAACAGTTATGAGCGGCTGCTGGTAAATAGGCACAATTCCGAACTCTTCGTTTCGGGGACCATAAACTGGGACCATAAACGTTTCATCTTTTTTGAAACAAAGAAATGAGACAAATGAGGAGAGTTTTTTCTTGAACCCGTCTTGGAGGAGCACTATTTTTAGAAATATATGTAGGTTATGAGACTCCGACGGATAAAAAAAATTAATGATAATCTCAGATTTTAAGAAAACAGGTACTCACTCTGTCACTCATATGATAGTGTTTGTGCTTCCCATAAATCACACTTGAACAAAGTTTAGACTTGTTAGACTAGAGGAAGCATCTGGTTTGTCACTGGTCTCCTTTTTATCAAGTTCGATTCTGCCTGATACCGTTTTACGGCTTTCCTTCAGCGTTTTACGCAGTTGTTTTTTATTTTCAATTATTTGAAGATAATTTTTTGTCAATGATGTTTTTTTAGAATTCATTTCTCCTTATTTTGTCTGGAACATCGTCAGAATCTTGTTAATTTATCTCCTACGCCACCTATGGTGGAGAATCTCACAAATTAAGTAAATGTGAGTTTTGGACCTTGTAACGATCGCGCACTTTCCACGTTGCTATGGGGGCAGGGTAGTTTATAGGATAGAAGACCTGACTTTTGCTCACCAAAACTACCATAAAATTCGCTATCAAAAAATACCAAAATAGTGTACTACCTGAAAAAAATCAGCGATCTTTTTTTTCAGAGTTTCCTGGAAGGACCAGGAGGTTTGGTAGAATGACATGTTGCTGCGGGCTGTATTTGTCCTGGGGTCTCGGGAGTCAGTTCAGATCAATTGTTTATTTTGTATCTGAACTACTACTAAAAAAAATCATAATTCCATGAAAAACCCAAAATTTCAATTCCTTTTTATCTTTATCTCGATGTTCTACAAAAGAAACCTGAAGCATACTTGCTTGAAGACACTTGGAAAGATTTTAATTAGCAATTATCAAATAAAAAGATTAAATAAAGAACTCGATCAGAACTATCATAATTATCTTACAAAACCAAGATCTGACTTATGGCAAAACAACAGGCAGATAAAGGGAATTGAGTTGACGTGTGAGCTAATTTCGGCGAAGTAAGCGAGTCCTCGTTTCGGAGGCGTCCAGTTTTGGACTGCCTCAAAGTCGGGGTCCTGAGTCACTGGTTTTTTAATGATGGCTAAGGATGTCGTTATAACTGGCTGAAATAGCAAAAAATAAAGATTGACTAAACATAGCTCATCAAAGTTAATTTAATTTAATGAATATACTAATATTCTAACCACTTTTCAGTTTAGTTTTCTGGAAACGTTGATATTTTTGATGATCTTTGAAAATTAGACTGAAAAAAAATATATTATCGGAGCCCATTACTGACTTCCCGGGTCATGATCCGCGATTTATTTTTCGGCTTTTTCAGTCTTGCCTATGTTAATTCCGCTCACCAAAAATCCAGAGTCTGGACAGGATTCAAAGTCGCGGACAAAATCTGGAAAAACGTATCTCGGTCTCTATAGCTGAAAAGTTAGTCGCAGACAAAGGTTGGAAAGAACTTATTTCGGTCGCAACAGAGAGAAAAATTTGGAACCGCGACAACTTGCAACAAAAGACAACTCGCAAAAAAAAAACGATAATTCGTATAAAATTCGGAAAAAAATTAGATTTTTCTTTTATCTAAATGTGAAACAAAAATGTGTTCAAACAACAAGGCTTTTGAAACGACAAAATTTCTATGATATAAAAGGCTTCCAGCTGCAAAATTAGGTCTGTAACAATTATTCTTGTTTTGATAATTTATAAGCGTTACTGGTATCTTTTGTTGCAATTGTTCAATTTTGGGACCTTTATAGGAATTTCCCGGGTTTCAACCGAATGAAGCAATTTTCGGTTAATTTGCGTTTCTTCCTTGTTTGCTGAATGAGTTTTGATACTGTGGAGTGAGCATAACCCATTCCTAAATGAGAAACTCAATGCCATCCTTCGACTGAATTGTCACTTTTTTTGGTTTTCCTTTATCGCATTGTTGAACTAATTCCATTTGGCTGGTTTGAATTCTGGATATTTTCGTAGAATTCCATGTGTATACTCCGCCACCCACATTTTTGTGAAATAATCGAAAAATGACCTGAGCTGCTCATTATCAGTTGTTGTGGCATGAAGAGCTTCTTGTGCCAACTTCAAGTCGCAATCAGGAATAAGAGCCAGCGCAATAAAGGATTTCGTTTTTTTCTTCGCTCTTTGTCTTTTCTGTATTCAACTGCTGGTTTTATTTCATATTTTTGCCAATTGACCTGCTCAAAATAGAAAAAGCATCCTTTTAGAGACGTTGTGGATTTGAAATCTAAAATTGCTGCATTTTCGAATTTAATAACAACTTCTGTTGGCTCCAGTAGAGGGTTAATTTCACGCAACGCTCAAAAAACTTGTTGCAAGGTCTTTTTGAGCATCTCCAAAATCTTATCCGGTTTTTTTTCCTTAATTCGAACCTCAATAATTTTTAAATCTTCAAAGATCATGATTCGTTTTCCGCGCTGGCTTGTAGTTAATTGGAAAATAATTCGCATGAGTAGAAACTTATTTAGAAAACGAATTGATGACTTATTTATTAGTCCAATGGAGATTTTGGACTCAATTTTTGGTATTGAACGAACATAAAGATTGATATCTTTCCTCTATAATTATATAATGTTAAGTTCAAACTTGACAGATTTTTAGGGGTGATTGCGGCTTTTAGCTTAAGGGTAATTAGGAAATTATCTTACAAGTTTATTCGAATTATCGCGTTTTGCGTGTTGCTGTTGATGCTAATTTATACGTTTTGTCTTGTTTTACGAGTTATTTTTTCTTCCGAGCTATTTTGCCTCGAGAAAAGTTGGTCGGCTGTTTTCATTTTCAATTATTTGAAGATACTTTTTTGTCAATGATGTTTTTTTAGAATTCATTTCTCCTTATTTTGTCTGGAAATTCGTCGGAATCTTGTTAATTTATCTCCTACGCCACCTATGGTGGAGAATCTCACAAATTAAGTAAATGTGAGTTTTGCACCTTGTAACGATCGCGCACTTTCCACGTTGCTATGGGGGCAGGGTAGTTTATAGGATAGAAGACCTGACTTTTGCTCACCAAAACTACCATAAAAGTCGCTATCAAAAAATACCAAAATAGTGTACAACCTGAACTAAAATCAGCGATAGTTTTTTTTTCAGAGTTTCCTGGAAGGACCAGGAGGTTTGGTAGAATGACATGTTGCTGTGGGCTGTATTTGTCTTGGAGTCTCGGGAGTCAGTTCAGATCAGTTGTTTATTTTGTATCTGAACTTCTACTAAAAAAATCATAATTCCATGAAAAACCCAAAATTTTAATTCCTTTTTATTTTTATCTCGATGTTCTACAAAAAAAAACCTGAAGCATACTTGCTTGAAGACACTTGGAAAGATTTTAATTAGCAATTATCAAATAAAAAGATGAAATAAAGAACTCGATCAGAACTATCATAATTATCTTCCAAAACCAAGATTTGACTTATGGTGAAACAACAGGCAGATAAAGGGAATTGAGTTGACGTGTGAGCTAATTTCGGCGAAATAAGCAAGTCCTCGTTTCGGAGGCGTCCAGCTTTGGACTTCCTCAAAGTCAGGGTACTGAGTCACTGGTTTTTTAATGATGGCTAAGGATGTCGTTATAACTGGCTGAAATAGCAAAAAATAAAAATTGACTAAACATAGCTCATCAAAGTTAATTTAATTTAATGAATATACTAATATTCTAACCACTTTCCAGTTTAGTTTTCTGGAAACGTTGATATTTTTGATGATCTATGAAAATAAGACTGAAAAAAATATATTATCGGAGCCCATTACTGACTTCCCGGGTCATGATCCGCGATTTATTTTTCGGCTTTTTCAGTCTTGCCTATATTAATTCCGCTCACCAAAAATCCAGAGTCTGGACAGGATTCAAAGTCGCGGACAAAATCTGGAAAAACGTATCTCGGTCTCTATAGCTGAAAAGTTAGTCGCAGACAAAGGTTGGAAAGAACTTATTTCGGTCGCAATAGAGAGAAAAATTTGGAACCGCGACAACTTGCAACAAAAGACAACTCGCAAAAAAAACGATAAAACGTATAAAATTCGGAAAAATTTTAGGTTTTTTTTGTCTAAATGTGAAACAAAAATGTTTTCAAACAACAAGGCTTTTGAAACGACAAAACTTCTATGATATAAAAGGCTTCCAGTGCAAAATTAGGTCTGTAACAATTATTCTTGTTTTGATCATTTATAAACGTTACTGGTATCCTTTGTTGCAATTGTTCAATTTTGGGACCTTTATAGGAATTTCCCGGATTTCAACCGAATGAAGCAATTTTCGGTTAAATTGCGTTTCTTCCTTGTTTGCTGAATGAGTTTTGATACTGTGGAATGAGCATAACCCATTCCTAAATGAGAAACTCAATGCCATCCTTCGACCGAATCGTCACTTTTTTGGTTTTCCTTTATCGCATTGTTGAACTGATTCCATTTGGCTGGTTTGAATTCTGGATATTTTTCTAGAATTCCACGTGTATACTCCGCCACCCACAGTTTTGTGAAATAATCGAAAAATGACCGAAGTTGCTCATTATTAGTTGTTGTGACATGAAGAGCTTCTTGTGCCAACTTCAAGTCGCAATCAGGAATAAGAGCCAGCGCAATAAAGGATTTCGTTTTTTCTTTACTCTTTGTCTTTTCTGTATTCAACTGCTGGTTTTAATTCATATTTTTGCCAATTGAGCTGCTCAAAAAATAAAAAGCATCTTTTTAGAGACGTTGTGGATTTGAAATCTAAAATTGCTGCTTTTTCAAATTTAATAACAACTTCTGTTGGCTCCAGTAGAGGGTTAAT